ATCTTCCCCCACCACCAGTACAAGGTCTTTATGTAGATGGGCACACAACCTGTAGGCTTTAACTTTGGCCATCATATAGTGATGTCCCCATAAAGATGGGCATGCTAGGTGCGCAGTCTAACTGGGAGATTCTGATATTCCAAATTAATGTTCCAAAAAGCATATCATTTACTACAAGTGCAAACAATTTCTGAGATAAAGCATTCCATGAAAGTCAAACTGGACCCAGAGGAAATGATCCCTAATCCTTGTAAAGGAAAAGCCTGTATTGTCTAATGTCTCATCAGAGAGATGGCTGAGAGCAGCCTCCTACAAGTAACATCTGTGCACTAAATTTGTTTGCTGAAAACACATGGAGGTCATTCCCAGTAGTCATTCTTAAGCCTTGAAACTCCCTCACCCTTGAAGTCCACCTGAGCCAGAACCAGAACAGCTTCTGGAAAACTTGTAAGACCTTCCTACTTGGGCAGGTGTTCAGAAAGCAAAGCTAAACTGGGACATCATTTAGGAAGTTTTTGTTTTATTTCTTTTTTGTAATATTCTGCCTGCTTTTGTAAGTGACTCTATCATTAATTTGTAAGCCACTTCAAGCTTTTGTTGGGAAAGGTGGCATATCAATATAACAAGTAAATAAGGCCACAGAGAGACACAGAAACAGACTTAGAACCAACATCAGCCTTGATATCAACGCTGGGACTTTAATCAACCCTAGTTTCAACATCAGATATTGAAGTTAAGTACTAAAAGACAGTTACAACATCCTTTTGGGAGATATTGCAGAATAAATCCTACAAGCCTTAACAACTTGAGAAAACATGCAGACTGTAATTCGCTAGACTCCAGATACTGTGCCTGGTATGAAGAAACTTCCTATCTATGTCAGTTCCAACATAAAGAGAGGGGACTCAGACAAAACTCGCTTAATGTTCAGTACTAACATATACACTAGCACCAGTACAGAATCCAGTGCTTATCAGTCAGCCATATCCATAGAGAAATTCAGCTCACTCTTTTAGTGGCATGTCTTTGCCATGGGTGCCAGGGAGTGCCCTCTGAGGTCTGTGAGGAGAGCTGTCAGGAGACAAAGGAATAACAACCCCCCGATCTCTGCTAGTTCACTAAAACTAGCATTAGTGCAATCAAGAATCTGCAAGTCGCCCAAAAGCATATGGAATGCCACCATCATCCTATTGGGAATACTGAGACTCTCCTTCAGAGTCTTTAAGAGTTAACAGATGCATCGGAGAAGAAGAGGTCCCTCTCCTACCATATGGGAGCAGCACTAGTAGCACCTTTCTTCATTGTCAGAGAAAGCAGTATTAAATAAATTGGGTGAGTCGCTGATGTTCTGCAGATTGAAGTATCAGTAATCTCCAAAATGTCTTGCATGGTGTTTGACATCTTGCCATCTTCTGTCTGCCAAAATTATCCTTCCTTCTCCCTTCCCCCTCAGTTATCTTGGCTGTGTAAGAAAATCTGAGGTCATCCAAGAGCAATCCAGAAGATGCCAATATCTTGATCCATTTTGGGAGGAAATCATACTCCTTGGTGTCATTTCAGTTGTAATTGGCCAACTGCCAGATACTGCTGACCAAATTCAGTTTTCTCATGTGGGATAAGGAAACATCTTTCCTTGCCAAGTTCTGTCATAATAGCAATGAGGAACTTTGGAACCTAAAAAAGAACAGTTAATGGTGGAAAAGGCCTTGCAGATCATGAATTGTCTTAGACAATTCATCAAGGTCTATAACCACCATGGTGACCTTCTGTAGACTATTGTTGCTTTAGGCCTAGATATTACATGAAGTACATACTGTGATCTTAGGTCTTTGAACACCTTATACATCCAGACTGCATTCTTTTGGAATTACTCTCCTTCTGTATCACAGATCTTTTTACCAGAACCTGCCAATCCATGTAATGTTGTCCCACCAAAGACCGATCGAATACTACACCAGAAAACATCCAAGATACACCAGGGGACAACCTCCCTTTTTCAGCACTGCACCCTTCTCCTTTATTGTGTCTGCCAATTTGAGAAAAATGGTCAAGACCTGCACCAGACCCAGTCAGTAGAGTAGGGCCTTTTAAAAACTATCCTCTCCGTGTTCTAACAAGTGTGATCTGCCTTGACTTCAGAGAGAGAGATCTTGTTGACCCTCACCCATAAATACTGAATACAGTTCCATTCTTTAGTCCCTATCCAGTCCCTTCTGCCATTGCTTTTTGGGGACCCTTCTCATGAGAAATGACTTTTCTGCTTAATCTTGGAGCCATAGAGGAAGCTCTTCATAGGGGTAGAGCAGAGGGCACTTCCTTAAATTCCCTTATTCCAAATAAAGAGGGGAGTTTCCTGTCCTGGAATCAGAAGACTCAGAAAATGCCATTTTGGGATCTGACAGGTAACACTTGTTTCAGTTATTCCATCATTCCATGATCAAGCCTCTTAGCCTGCAACTCTCAGCCTGCATGTCTCATTTTACACTCCTATTCACACAGGAAGCATCCAAGATTTCCAGTGGACCTCAACCATTACCAGTGCAGGTTTCTGTTTTTTGGATTCAAGACACCAAGGGTATTTACCAAGTCCCTGTTTGTAGTGATAGCTTATCTAAGGAAACAGAATCCATATTCACCTGTACCTGGATGACTGGCTGATCAAAGGCAGATTCCAGCAGGAGACTGACTACTTTAAATCACGTTCTTTCTCTGTTCTCCCAACTACTTGTAAACTATGGAAAACAGTCCCATATTACGTTATAGAGTTCATAGGAGTTCTGACTCCAGATTGAAGTTTGTCACTGGGTTTACTTACCAGATGATAATTTGACCATCAGGTTTGCCTCCCATGTGATAGGTTCCAGGTCAGCCACGTACATTCTACAGACAAAACAGATGATGATAGGATGTACATCTGAGGTAATTAGCCATTTGTCAGTGTGTATGTATATAATACCACTCGCCAAATTTCACTTACAGCCTTTCAGACAGAGACTATGTGCTTTCCATTCACTCCTCAGATGAGCAGACGGGTCATATTTCTACCTCTAATGCTGAGAGAGCTTGGCGAGTGGCTGCAATCTTTAAACATAATTAATGTAATGAAATTTTGTTCCTTTCCTTGACAGTGGTATATGATAAGGCATATACCCTTAAGCGAGCACTTTAAAGGAAAGGTTTTTAGGATTTAGTGGACTCTGATCATAAGGCAAAGCCTCAGTCTTGTACTCAGCTCTGGCTCAATGTGCAACTTTAGACAAGACATTTTTATGACTTTGTGCAAGTTTTTATGACAAAATTCTACCCAGAAAAATTCCATGAAGCTGTCTAAAGAGGGAAAAGGGTCATTACCCAGTCCCTTTTTTGGCCCCCCCCTTTTAAGGCTGGTCCACTTGGCAGCAGAGAGAGGGAGATATCTGGGGCCTGGAGAAGAGTAAGCTATAGAGGGTGTGACTCAATGAGATGGTTGCTGTCCATGGGTTGTATCTTGGGCCACAATTCCTAGTGCAGCAGAAACTTCCCCACTGCTCTCCATCCACTTTATCCAATGAATATTAAATGCAAGGTACATTAGCTCCTGATTTAAAAGGAGTCATGCCTGACCCGTGCTCTGGTGGTTAGAAACTGAATGCTATGCTGGGAAGTCAGAAAAGCCAGATCAAATTCTGTGGATGAGGGAGGGGGTCTGGAATATGGGTATCTGACTTCGTAGGGAAAATTTCCTAACTGCTCAGCTGTTGGAGGTTAGACATCAGAGAGTCTTGATTCTTCCTGTGCTTTGGTTTTGTTAGGTCAGACTTCCAAGACTTATGCTCAGGTCTGTATGTACAGACTGCATACCTGCCCAGCTAGAATGCAGTCAGGTGAGCGTGTTCAGTAGCTTTGTGGATGCTTACATGTTCACACTGCATAGTGGGTAGTATCACCAACTGTAGGTAAGTGGCAGTTACACAGTCAGAAACTGCCATTTGGGCACAAAAAGTGAAACTGGATTCTGCCTTGAATGATCCTTTTGAGTTTGTTTATAAGTGCTTTGAAATGAAAAAATGCTAGATATGAAAGTATCAAGACTTTCATACCATATTCACTGTGCTGTTGTAAGCTGATACTGTTTCTGTGACATGGTAAAGATACTTAAGCCATGTGGTGGGGGGAATACAAATTAATGTATAAAGGTAGCTACAAATAAGTCAATGGAGGTATGCTGATTTACATCAGCTGAAGATCTAGCCTTGTAGTGCTGATTGTATATACTATTGATAATGGTGTCAGTGGGAATTGTGCATTCATGCATGAATTGTTGCTTAGTGCTAACTTATTTTAGACAGCCCATAAAGAGTCAGAGAAGTCAGTAGTTTACATTCATTGTAATAGTTATAGTAATGGAATTATGCTGTAGGAGCCATCGGAGAAAAAAATAACACAGTATTTTTCCTTTATTGTATACTTGCTTTCCTTTATTGAAGAAACCATTCAAATGTATTAAAACACTAGACAAGTTCATTAAAGCAAGGACTTACATACTTGCTTAACTAAGCATTTGGAGTGGTCCTGTTGCATATATAATTTTGACTCGAATAAGATTACTCGCATATGTAAGTCTTGCTGCTACCCAATGTTCATATCCTGCAAACTAGTGATGCCTGTATACCAGGTGGTACACAAATACTTTGGATTTTTAGTTTGATTTAAGATATTTTTCATAGTAAAATGTCATGCTAAACTTGGATATGCTGGGATTTTTACCAAGTACTTTCAACCTGTTGATGCAGCATGAGCTGTATTTTATTAAATAGTGTATAAACAATCCCTAAAACTAAGATGACTTACTGAATAATAATGCATTTTGCACGGTATTTATTCATGTGTTATTAAATGTGTTTTTATCCATGTAGTAGACCCAGTCTTAAGTTCTTGGAGCTTTTCCACCTACATATTTATTAAAATAAACAGAACACTATTTTTTAAAGTACAAAGACAATATTTTCCCCTTTTTTTAGGAACCAAGGTTACATTCTGTGAGAAGACATTTTTCTCATCCTTCGTCTGTGAGTCTCAAGCCTCGATATACACGAAGCCCTCACTTTCATCCTAGGAAAGATTACAGAATGGAAGATACAATTCTCACTCCACCTTCCTCTACAGACTCTGTAAAATAGAATTTTAGACATCTACCATGCTAATATGTCTAGCACATGGAGGGTATGTAATTTTCTAACATACAACATTTGCTGAATTTGCCTAAGTTAAAATGTCTTCACTTTTTGTAAAAGGAATAAAAAGAAGCCTTGCAATTCAGGTTAACAAGCATGATATGCAGGATAAAATCATGGTTTCCTTTATCAATTAATATACCTTTAGATGACATTGTAATTTGTGATGTACAGACCACTGTGTGTGCACTATTTATTTATGTGCATTGAAAAACAACATATTTGTATTACAGAGCAAAGTTAAAGTATATTTTTGTGTCAGATAAATTACAACAATAGTCATTAATTACAATGTTTTAGCTGTTTTCTTGTAGACTAACAGCATGTATTTGTTTTGGATACTGTTTTGTTTATTTTAAATATAATTATTCAAGCATAATTTTATTTTATTTTGTTTGAACTCATGTATAGCTTGTGTATATTAAATTATTTTAATTATTTCTGTTGAAATTAGATCCATGTACTTAACTAACAGGTAAGAATTCTTGCTTAAGTGTAGTTTTAGCACTTTGCGGTAAGAATTTGAAAAAATTAAATTTGGACCACTTGCTTATAATTGTTTATTTGAGGCTGACACTTCTTAAATACAGTAGATAATACATTCATGCTTATAGTATCATTCTAGCTGTAGAAAAGTGCAAGAACTGACTTAATACTTTATTTTGTAAGACAGCTAGAAATGTTTACCTAGTCTTTACATTTAATATTTTTCCAATGCCTGTACAAGCTTAAAATGCATTGACAGACTACATCATGTGTTGAGATAGTATACAATTTCCTTCTCAACTGTAAGGACTTTAAACATTTATTCCTCTTTTTTTCTCTATGCTTTCTTTTTTCAAGGATTCCATCTGTATTTTTTTAAACTGAAAACAGGTCAAAACATGACTGCTGTATTTAATAGGAGTAAAAGCCATGCCTTATTGTTTACAAACTGTTGAAGGTCATTATTTTTATCTTTTTTATGTATGTAAAATATTTTTCAATTATTACTTTTTTATTTTTTGATCTGCTTGAATGACTTTCCAAATATATTTGCAATACTTTGTTTTAGTTTTATATCAGATGAGGGTCTTGCAGAGTGGGCATTATAGCTCTACTAGCCAATACACGGGTAATATTTAAATAGTCTTATTGAAAATTGCAATCTGTAGCATTCTTTTATAGTGAAGTGTAAAACAGGTGGTGCCTGATTCTGTTCTCGGGCCTGATTCTGTTCTCGTGTATACTGGGTTAATGCCATTGACTTACACTGTCGTGAGATAAGTCAGGCCCATTTTATATATTATTTGCTGTTTTAGTAACATTTACACTCCTAGACCTAAAAGCAGTTTCTGCACCTTGGCTGATCAGAGGAAAGATCGCACACAAACAAGATTTATACCTCTTGTAAACAAAACAAAACTGCTTGTAACAGTCTAACAACTGTTGGTTTTAAACAGTTTGTCATGTGTAAATATAACATATTCTTGGGGATATTGGTATAATTTTGGGGGACAGATCCTCAGCTGTTGTAAATTGTCATGACTTTGCTGAGACAACTTATACAAACTAAGCATCTGTTCATTTTTTTATATATTTGGTTTAGGTTTTAAAATGTATCTGCATGGCCATATTAGATCAATTTTGGCACATCCTCAAACTACTTCATTTTTATATAAAAACTTGTTCAATTATAACTATTTTTGCAAACAGTCGTCTAGCTGCAGAAGTAGCCAGGAAAGATCTTGTGTTCTGCTATTACAGTCTGATATTTATTATCATGAAACAAAAATATAAAATCACTTCAACCTATGCTTTAGGGTGAGTTATAAATCCTGCCTTTTAAAAATGTTCACAAATTGAATTTGTTTTTTGTTGTACCAAACATGATTTATCTTAGAATACTTTTTAAATTCTAGAGGTTCAAGGAATAAATTTGTTACATAGTGTCATGTTAAAAACATTTGTCTACAGTTGAAGTTTTCTGAGCTATCTACTTAAAGTTGTACATTTGGTATGTCTGTCCGCTAAAATGGCATCTGAAAGTCCAGATGTTCTCAAATGTTTATTGGCATTTATAAGGACAGATAGTAGATCATAAGTATTGATTTTTTTCCCTTCAAAATATGAAAGGAAAAATAATTTGTGAAATAAGACTAAGTTTAGCCTGTTACTTTTATCAGTAGTGCAAAAAGATGCCATTATATCCTCTTGGAAAGTCTCTAATCTAAGTAATTGTGGTTTTATTTGTAAATAACACAAGATATGACCCAGGTTCAGCATTTATTTTAAAATAAGAGCTTTGCTTATGGCTGCATGTAGTAATTCAAAAGATGCAGGTAACAGTTTTCTCATGCAAGTTTTGTTTACTTTTTGACATAAAAGAATATTTAAATTGATACTTACTTTAAAAAGTTATACGAGGTACAAAATTGAATTTTTCTTTGTGCTCCAGTTTTGTGTCCCAATTTAAAGAGTAAAAACTAAATATAAAACAGATATAATTTGGTAATTTTTAAAGTTAAGGTATTAAAAATGTATTCCTAGTTGATCACATTTCCATTCTTAGGTTTAAAAATACTTCAGCTCTGTTTGGTTGAATGAACGTTGACATAAGAACATTAAGTAATATAAATATAAGATAAATAAAATTAGTGACTATAAGCTGCTATATAAAGGATTCAGAATTCAACCCCTCCTTCTCCCACAAGAAATAGTAAAATGTAAATGAGAATTGTTTTAAACACAAATGTTTATTTCTTAATTCTCCAGGTTGAAGTTCGAAGGACTAGATCCTGAGGGGTTTTACTCTTGAGTTTATTTAGATAAAAACTAAATAGAGACTTGAAGATTTGACCCAAAGACATTAATGCTGAAAATAAAAAGTAAGCCTTAAGATTTATTATTTCATTTTAGAGTAAGGAGAGAGATTCTGTTTATATTATCTCTTCAGTTACTTTGGAAGGATGCTCATCGTTCACTGTGAGTATCAAATGATGCTCACAAATTTCTACAATTAAGTCTGCTCTTATCCTTGTTTCTTTGTCTGAAGTTGCCATTTGCAGAGGGTTGAGCCATGGTGTCCTATCTTGATTTGAGAAGCCTGGAACAGATCAAGATGAAACACTGAATAGTGGGTCATCTAGCCTCCAAGGGCTGTACATCCCTACTGAATGTTAGGGGCAAAATTTAAATTAGGAAATTAAAGTTAGTTTTTTTCTTTCAAAACTATTGAGCACCAAACACTTCCCAGTGACCTCTATTAGAAGCACAGTATTTTAGAAAAATCAGGCAGGTGGCTGATCAGACTCATTTTTCTCTGGAAATGTTTTATCTAGACTAGCCTATTGCATATTAGTCAATCCTAAAATAGCCTTAAAATTCAAATCAAATGTGTAGCTTCACCTTCATACTTCTTTTGTAGAGAATAATATATGTTGGAAAAGAACTTTACCACATCTCAAAAATAGTATCTTCAAGTGTTGTTAACTCTGTCCTTCCAGTAGTAGCTTCTTTCCAGCATTCAATTTTTTTCTTTGTTGCTTATTTATTCCATTATTTTTGTCATTGGAAATTCCTTTACTTTTGTACAGAAGTTGTCTAGCTGCCTATATGCTTTGTTGCCTTAATTCTGCAGTCTGATCTTTTTTGGTAACCCCTTTACCTGTCCAGATCCCTGTTGGGATCTGCGAGGCTGTGCACAACAGGAATTATACAGAGATCAGACAACTGGATTGTGGCCTACATGGTCTAAGTGATTTTGCTTAGTATTATTTGTCAGGGCTATTATTTAGAAAAATGACTAAATTAGCAAATTTTCCTCTTCCTCTTTCAGTATCTTTATCCACCAACATCATTTGATCTTGAAACTAACTTAATTTTTAGTTTTTCCTGTCTAGCAACCACCTGCTATTGTTAGTTTATAAACTGATACCAACTGCAGTTTGTATTCTAGATGGTTTTGTGGCAGAATGCTAGTGTTAATATTTGCTTTAAGATAAGAGTAGAAAATCATATTGGCATAGATTTTGACAAACAAAACTGATATCCAAATGCATTGTTATCACTCCCACTATTTATATACAGTTGATCAGGGAATGTTATGTTACAAAATTGAATTCTGTACTTGGATAGGAAATATCTGTTTTGAAATTTTAGAAGTAGTGTGAACACAAAATATTAAATTTACTTGTGAGCCAGCAAATAATTCAGTGAGACCATAAAACAGTTGAATTTGCCATATTAATTTAATATATCTTTGTGTTAATCCTATTCTAAAATATGAGTATCAAAATAAGCTTTTTTTTTTTAAATCAGTGATTTTTTTTTCTGATCCTCATAATTATTTTACCATTATGCTAGTGAACAAACTTCATTCCAATAATAACTCAGTGGAAGCTAACAGAACATTTGGCTTTGTTTAAATGTTTTTCCCTGTTTTTCACTATCATTTTAAAATGTAGGAAGTTGAAAGGATGCACCTTTTTGCTGTAATATAGGTTTGTTGAAGTCTAAATGTTAAAGTAATGCAGTAATTTTGGATCACCTGGAAAAAAAGCTTTCTTCACTTCATGACACCTTTATATTTAAGTGAAAAAGCTAAACATCTAACAAGTCATTTTTAAAAGAAATGCAGAATTTACGTCTATCCAACATATCAGCCAACCAGAATCTGTTGGACAAAAAAAGTTTGAAACATGGTAAGCAGGTATCATGCTTAGCTAGCTGTAATGTGTAGCTTTCATTTTAAACTGAATGCTAAATAATTTATTTAAAGCATAATAAAAAGGTACAGGCTTTCATGGACTCATTAAGATAGTAATATTTATAAAATATATATTTAAACTGATAGCTTTACAAGTTTCACTTTTGGTTTGTACTATAGCCACTTTCCATCCAAAAAGCTGCAGTTCAGAATAAATATTCACAGTAAACATAAGCATAATTCTCATTATGTAATTTAAGTATTAACTATTATAATTTTTGGAAATTGGAGCTGACATGTTACATACCATTTTGCCCTATATAAGTATGCATGATTATAGTTAGTCAGGTAGAAGTTTACTTTGATAATGTATTCCAGGCCCATTTAATCTGGTTACTGCAGCCTTGTTAAGTAAGCAACTGTAGATGTACAGAAATAAATGTTTAAATCGTAAATTCATTGAAGTAGTTTTCAGTAAACTTGTTACCCTTTAGCCTAGCACAACAAAAAACTAATTTTGTGTTACAACTGTATGTATGAAATACAGTAATGAAAAACAAGTTTCTATAGTTTGTAACTTCTAATAAAGTTCTATGTTTGTGTAACTAAACCTTTAATTCAAATAAAATTTTCTGTATTTACTGTTGGTGTTAAAACTTATTTTTATTTAATAGAAAGATGTATGATATATGATATTGGATAATTATTTTTAAAATTGTAACATCATACAAGATAAATTCATTATATGGTCTGTTTTGGATCTGAGGTTAAAATAGTATTCAGGGGAATGGAGAGGGTGACTTTTTCCTGTTCAAACCATCATATTCAGTGGCTCCATGTTCCTGTGGCCTTCGCTCAGGGGTCTATCAAAGTTTCTTCAAACAGTCAGAAGGAAGATTGAGCTAGGGCAGAGGTTCTCAAACTGTGATCTGCGGACCACTACTGATCTGCGAGCTCCTTTCAAATGGTCCGCAGAAAGGTTGCGGAACAGTGGAGAAAATCTGTACTTGTAAGGTAAGACTACTGATAATAAAATAAGTGTTGTGTGCTTTGATTTGTAGAACAAAAAAAAGTTTATTAAGTGGTCTGCTGAGACCCTCAGCAATTTTCAAGTGATCTGCAAAAAAAAAAAAAAGTTTGAGAACCACTGAGCTAGGGGATATTAACCTCTATAGAAGTGAGATCCTGTTAAGGGTGCCATGGGGTGCAGTGCAGTATGAGCTGTGCAAACATCTACATATGGTTCACAAGATGAACTCAGAGATTTCAAAAACGTTCTGACCTATTGCGGCCTTTCTGAATTCTTTGAAACAGAAGAATTGCTCTTATTATTTTTTCCATAGTCAAAATAATGAGTGAAAACTAAGAGGTGGCATTTGCCAAGGGTTGCCTTGAGTCCAGCGAGGGTGCCTCGAGTCTAAAAAGGTTTAGAACCACTGCTGTATACCTTCGGATTAATGTTCTCTATCAGCTCCAGATATGAATGTTCTCACCTCTGTTTTGAGATATA